TCTTTTATATCAGATGGAGGTTTCATCTCAAGAATGGCCATCTGAACGATCCAAGTCTATTTCTCGAATATTGTTTTGAAGACAACAGTGTGAAAAGTGGCCATTTGGCTTGCACCTAGAACATTTGCGATCTTTTGCTGGACACAGACCTCTTCGATGAGAAGGGGTTGAACCACACCAAATACAGGGGTTGGGATAGCTCTTAACATATGAGCTTGAGTACGTTAATCTCCCTTGATCCATATTTTCTCTTTTGGATGAATGTATTGCATTATCATATCTAGCACGTTGGTTTTTATTTACAGCTTCGATTGATGGGAGGGTCAATTCCTCTTTTTGTCTTTTCAATTCTTCTGATTTGCGAAGTGAAGTTATTGCAGATTCCAATGTAACTTTATTTTCTAACTGTAGTTTATCACTCAAATCTTGATCACGCATACCAATAATAATGACCATTAGTAACATTTCATCTTCAAGCGTTCCCGATTCACAGGTATGAGCAAGAGAATATAAATCTGTCACAAAATCTTCTGCAGTTTCTGTTAGTCCTTGTTTTCTACGTAGAAATTTGGCTCTTTCATAAATAGTATTCTTCTTTGGATTGAAGTGCCCATCAAATTTGTCCATGACTGTTTTATACTTTGTTTCTTCGTTGGTCATTTTTAAGGATGAGAATATTTCTTCTAATTTTGGGCCCATTGCATATATGAGTGTACTCACTTGTTTTTCTTCAGTTGATTGAACCAAATCACTAATTGTTCTAAATCTTTCAAAACGTTTTTTCCAAGATGACCATTCCGCTGGTTGGAAGGAAAAAGGTTCAGGCATTCTTACTTGTGTATGAGACATGATAAACTTTTTTGATAATGGTTGATACCAAAAAAGTTGTTGATATGTTTGGATAGGTAAAAAATTAAATTTTAGTGTCAGTATCTTAATTAATACATAAATAGTTGAGACAACCAAAGCCTTTGGTCACCCCAAACTATGCAAATAAAGACTGCGCCATGTATTAAACCCATGAAAATCAGAATTTATCATGATAGAATAATTTAGGTAAAAGTATTTTATTAGTATCAATCAACTAGGAGTAAACAATAACAATTAACATATCTAAATATATAAAAGGCAAAGCCCTCACTGACTGACTGACTCACTCACTCACTCACTCATCACTAATTCTCCCACTTCCCATTTACCTAGGAGGCTGAAATTCGATATCTTTGTGCATTAAATAGGAAAACTAAGTAGTTTTTATTCTGATCGGGCTTTCGGCCTCCGCCCCAGTGGCTCTGGAGTTTCCCATGTTAACCTTACGATTTTTCATATTTAAAAGGAATTTTTTAACAGCTGTTTCAATTAAACAATTTGGTTATGTTCTATGATGTTCAATAGCATTAAAGTTACAAGGATTACCAACAGGGTGCAGCACTATTATCTTTTTAAGTTTATGACTACAGCCAATTTGCAACCAAAAGGTGAGTGAGCGTAGTGAACGAACTTCAACCTGGAAGGGAGTTAGCGTAGCGAACGAGCTAATCTGAAGGCAAGTGAGAGGAGCGAACGAGCTCCAACCTAAAGATGAGTGAGCGTAGCGAACGAACTTCAACCAGGACGTGATTGAGCCATGCGAACGAGCTCACTTGTGAAGTTAAACGGGGCAATGCCCGAGGGTACAGCTAGTGATAATATAAAACTAAAATGAGCCAACCATTACAGTTTCTTATATGCTTCACAAATTAATTTATTTTCTTCCCTTTTTCTTAAGCCCTTTGAATGCATTCCTAACTTGACAAAATTTAGGTTATCAGATTTACATATGAGGTCATTTTGATAATCAAATAAGTTTTCTGTGCAGGGGTGCCCAGAGGGGGGGTACTGTGGCGCGTTTGCGCCACAGGAATTTTTTGGGGGGGCTTTTTTAAAGGATTTTGGGGTGGAATATTATCTTGCTAGCTGTCATAATGAATGTATAATTTTGTGTAAGCAGCCCGAAAAGTGTTTCTAAGTAGCTAACTATCAACAACACTAACAACATTTTGCCGTTCGTAATTAAGATTGCTTCTAAGAATGGTAAAAACGCACTTTGTCAGACAATCCTTAATATACCAGTGTCGAATTTTACTTGCTACATATGTTTTGGTGGTTCTTTAACTCCACCATCGTCAGGATTTGCAAAAGATCCACTTCTGGAGGAGTCGACAGAATACGTTACAAACATTTAACACAAACACGAAACTATTACAGACAGGCCTATGAATTCACGCGTGTACATTGCCGTCGCGTCGGCAGGACTGGAAGTAAACTGAATCAGGTTCAGGTTATGACGGACCGATCACGTGGTCTCGGGATTGTCGTCTGCGTTTTCAACAGCTGATATTGGACTAATGTAGTGACTGAGAAGTGTTGAAAATATAATAGGATTCATAATTATTTGAGTGTTTTCACTCAAAAATTTTGTGCTGTTTCTAGTTTTATGTGTTTATATATTTTAAACACCTCAAAGTATTTAATAAATTTCCTTTCGCACAGTACTGTAGAATTTAGAGACCATCATTTATATCAAGCATATAAATTGGTTATTATTGTCAATAATTTTGAATGGAAAACTCAATTATGAATCTCATTATATTTTCAACACTCTCCTCCGTCCCTACAATAATTAGTCCAATATCAGCTTTTGATAACACAGACGACAATCCAGAGACCACGTATTTCCGTCATAACCTGATTCAGTTTACTTCCAGTCCTGCCCGCGGCAATACACACGCGTGCATTGATAGGCATCGTTTCGTGTTTTGTGTACAAACGGATCGTCTGACAAGATGCGTTTCTACCATTATTAGTCATAAAAGGCAATCCCGGGGCTATCAAAATGAATTATAAGATAACTTCACTTCGTCACAAAAACCTTTTGTACTGGTGGCAATTAAAGTATTGTGGGTATTTTGTCCGGCAATATTTGTTGAAGGCAGCCTGGGAGTGGCGAGCGACAAGGCTGTCTTATTTCATGACTCTGCCTATAATTTTGAATTAAGATACTTTTTGCCAAAGTATTATTAATGCACTTAAAGCTGTTTGAATTCTTAAGCCCTGTAAAAATTAACACCACACTGTGTTGGAGTAGAGTAATTCACCGAGTATATTTTTGTACGTTTTGAAGACGTTGTCTATTGCAATACTGAGCACATGTTGGCTGACAATACAGATTCTGAATTGTAAATTGAAAAAATTCTAATTCGTCCATTAGTTAGATTAGATATAATGATGTATTGTTAAATGACGTTTCCTATTAAGCATTTAATTTTGATTATCAGCAAGTTTGTTTTTCGTACCTCAAGTTTACTAAATACTTAAAATGCTCGTTTTATGAGGTAAAGGGAAAATTGTCAGATAAATTGGTGGGAGGAGGGTAGGTTTAAATAGACGGCAGCATAAATTGGGGGGGAACTACTCCTGTGGCTTGGGGGGGGGGGATTGCGCCTCTGGGTTTGGGGGGGATGGGCACCCCTGTTTCTGTGCAGTGTTATTTGGTTTTGACGACTTGTTTACCATAATTTACCGTAGCCTATCCTGTTGTAGTTCACTTGGGCTGCTCCATAGTTAACAGCATCAGCATCAAATGATGATTCTTTTACTATGTCATGCAATTGATCGTCTTCAATTCACATCAGAGTAAAGTTGTAGGCTAATCAACACATGATGACTTCATTACTTCATGATGAAACTAGTGAGTTAGGAAGCCCTTCACAACCTTTCTTGCCAATATTATGTTGCATTTCTTGACCACTCAAGATGGTTGGCTTAAAACTAGCTATAGGTTAATAAATTAAAATAAGCCCATGTGTTCTGAATCTTGACTAAATCAATTGGTTGTCAAGGCAGATCTAAAGGGGATTGAGTGTAGACATTAGCTATTTAGGGTAAACATGCTGTCTTCATAAATCCCTTTAATTTGGTGACGGTTTGACTTTACCTGTGACCCCAAGTGTCTTAGCTGTGTCAGAATCAAGTAATGACACAGTTGAACCGTCGCCTAGTTGTGTGTAAGTGTCAAATTTGATCATTTGGAGCAAACAATGAAACTGGACAGACCCTAAGTAGAACACGGTTATTATCAATAATGGTATCTTAGACTACTAATCATTTCATTATTTTGGGGTTCACTGTCTTGCCTGGAAAACCTCTTGAATTTGTCAGTATGGAGAAGACGATGATGTAACAGCCTGCACCAATTAATTCCATAAACTTGTGATATTTTACACATTTTAAGCTAGTGATGCTGAAAGCAGAAGAAACATAGTTTCTTTTCGGCAGTGATCTTCCTATCTCTAAGATACATCTGCTTTCCTGAAAATCCTACGAATTTCTATGATTCTCTGAGCAAAATGTACAACTAACTGACTTCACCTAGCTAAATTTGTGAAAACCACATTCATGTTATTGTTATTCCGCTCCATGTCACCTGTGAGGTGGAAGTATTTGCTCATAGAACATTGCTTTTGTAGTCAGTTAGAGAAACATTACTAACATGTTCAGCCCACCTGTATTTAAGTAAGACTATTAGATAGCTTATTTAGTAGTTCATTCAAAAGTTGAGCATGTAAGTCTCTGTAATGTTTTCATTACTCATAATGTGCGCTCAATTGCGAGAGAAACATTTTATCATTTGGTATTCACTAAAGCTACTGTCATGTTTTTTCTTATGATTGTATTTAAGTTTGATGTGATCCTTTACTTTACAATTGTAAAAAATCACTCGCTGTTTCTGTGACATGAGCAAAAACCAAGTGACTGTGAATTTAGAAAGAGGCTATAAAAACCACTTTTGGATATCATCAACCTATGCTTACACAGTATAAGTGTAAATATATGTTTCAAGAGTGTTATTAGCTATTATTTTATTTACTTTCAGTAATTTATTCTGTTCCGGTCTATTTAGGCAGTAATTACTGAAATGAATAACAATACCATTTTTCATTGTTTATTTAAAATTGCAGGTATCAGAGACAACTATTTTGCAGAGTATGCATTAGAGTATTTCAAGGCAGGGAGGAAGTATCTGAGTTACTACAATGATGATTTGGCTTGCACTCAAAACCCTGTGTCAACCAATCTCATACGTGTAGCTCAACAGTTGCTGACTAGAGACTGGCCATCAGGCTCTCATCAGTCTAGCCTCTTACAAGAGGTCAGTATACATGTATTAGTCATTCTCACACTTGTCATGAAGTCAGTATAGACATGTTTTAGTCAATCTTATATTTGTAGCTTAAAGATTGGTGACTAGAGCTTGGTCATCAGACTCACACCAGTCTAGCCTCTTACATGAGGTCAGTATAGACATGTGTTAGTCACAATGACATTTGTAGCTCAACATTTGTTGACTAGAGGCTGGTCATCAGACTAACACCAGTCTAGCCTCTTACATGAGGTCAGTATAGACATGTTGTTAGTCACAATGACATTTGTAGCTCAACATTTGCTGACTAGAGACTGGTCATCAGACTAACACCAGTCTAGCCTCTTACTTGAGGTCAGTATAGACATGTGTTAGTCACAATGACATTCATAGCTTAATATTTGCTAACTAGAGACTGGTCATCAGACTAACACCAGTCTAGCCTCTTACATGAGGTCAGTATAGACATGTGTTAGTCACAATGACATTTGTAGCTCAACATTTGCTGAATAGAGACTGGTCCTCAGACTTAACACCAGTCTAGCCTCTTACATGAGGTCAGTATAGACATGTGTTAGTCACAATGACATTTGTAGCTCAACATTTGCTGACTAGAGACTGGTCATCAGACTAACACCAGTCTAGCCTCTTACATGAGGTCAGTATAGACATGTTGTTAGTCACAATGACATTCGTAGCTTAATATTTGCTGACTAGAGACTGGTCATCAGATTAACACTAGTCTAGCCTCTTACATGAGGTCAGTATAGACATGTTGTTAGTCATAATGACATTTCTTCTGTAGCTCAACATTTGCTGACTAGAGACTGGTCATCAGACTAACACCAGTCTAGCCTCTTACTTGAGGTCTGTATAGACATGTGTTAGTCATAATGACATTCGTAGCTTAATATTTGCTGACTAGAGACTGGTCATCAGACTAACACCAGTCTAGCCTCTTACATGAGGTCAGTACCTAGGGTACGAGGCAATTCATTAGCTTTTTTTGGGGGCACCAAAAGATAGGAATATAACAAAATTTGGTGGTTGTATTTGCATGTGATTGCGATCAACTTCTTATAATCCCTGCAGCCGTGTTTACCTCATTATCTTCTCCCACGGCCGTGTAGACATCTTAACTGTTTCCCGCTATTGCGGCAAAATATCAATAATTTGTTGCTATCGTGTAGACAACATTATTGTCTCCCGCGATTGCAGCAAAGTTCTGACTATTTCCCGCGGTCCTGTGGACATAATTATAATCTTCCATGATTGCGGCAATATAAGCATATCCCACGGTCATGAGGCATAATTCTGATCATATCCCACGGTTGTGTGAACATTATCATCGTGTTGCCCGATCGAGGTAAAATTCTGATCATCCCTTGCGGCTGTGAAGACATCATTATATCGTCTCCCATGATCGTGTGGACATAGTAATCGTCTCCTGCGATTGCGTCAAAATGGTAATCATATCCTGTGGTTGTATGGAGATCATCACTGTCTTCTGTGAACGAGGCCAAATTCTGATCTTGTCCCGCTGTCGTGTGGACATTATTATTATCTTGCGCGATCACGGTAAAATTCTGATCATTGCTGTGAAGACATCACAATATCGTCCTCCCGCTGTCATGTGAAGATCATCATTGTCTTTTGCAAAAGGTTAAATACCAATATTTACTTTACTTTTCTAATGGAATAGGTCCATCTTTTGTAGATTATAGGTAATTTTATAAAACACTTGGTAAAGGGATCTCTTTTTTCATGGCGTTCTCCAGTTTATTTAAATAAAGATTCATTTGTTTTTTTTTTAGATCTGCTCTATGGACCGAAAAATCCCTTCAAATGTCATTAACGCTCTGAAACTAAAGAGGTCACGTCTGTACAGCAGAGTTCTTTCAGAAAATTCAGACACTGATTGATCTGTTTGTATATGGTTGAGAAGAAGTAATTTCATTATTGTATAATTTATTAATTAGTCATACTTTAAGAGTAATGTTCACAGAAATTTGTATAATTCTGTAATTTAATTTTGTTTGATATGGTCAGCCTGATAAGAGGTTGTGTCATAGAGTAAGTTAAATCATTTGATTAATTTAAAATTGTGAATTTTAATGTATTACTAATGATAGTATTTTTATGAATATATAAGTTGTAATAATCAACATATTAGGTACAGTACTGATTATCATCAGATTGGTAATTGTATCAAGTAACATTATATTATTTATTTAATTGTATTAATATTGTTTCATATTGAAGAAACTAGTTTAAAGTAGATCGCAGCTGTAATTGACAGTAAATCAACACTATTTATGATCAATTAATAACCAGCAGTCCCTGGTATAAGGAAACAATTGGTTCAGTTATCTAATAGTCTGTAATATTGTGTTATATTAAGAGTAAAGTCAGTGATTTTGTTTAAGAATATTAAATTAATTATGACAAACTTTCCTGGATTTATATTTATTTTATTTTATAACACTTGGTAATAACTTGGTTTACAATTTTTTTACTTACTGTAGGTTCTTTTAAAAACTAGTGTAAAAAACAATCTATTCTTTAATTGGGTAATTACAAAGTTTGGGTGTGAATTATAGTATCCTATCCCAGCAGGGTAGTTCAGATCTAGAGGTAGTTTTTTAAAGGAATAAAGTTTCTAGGCCTGAAGGGGTAGCTACTAGCTTACCTTAGAAGAAGCACAGGTAGGGTAGGTCATAGAACACACAGAAAACACAATATACGAGTATTTCGTCTCCTGGGCGACCTTTTCAGATGTAGACAAAAATACTCCACCCAAAAATTATCATTAAAAAATACACTGTAACTCTCTTTGCTTACGATTGAAATAATTCCCAAGGGGATGAAATATTGTGTTTTATATGTCTTCCGTGTGTCAGGACTATGTAAAGGGGGTTTACACACAGCCATGTTGTAGAGTGGGTGGGGGTCTGAAGGCGATTCCCACGATATTTAGGACAGAAATAGTGTGGTCTTTTAAAGGTGAATTTAAAAAAATGTAAAATGTTACATAAACATAGGAATACTCTAGTTCAAGTAGCCTATACATTTAATATTTTAAAAATTCACTATATTTTTAAAATATTGGTTCAAGTTTTTTATTACCTAAGTAAATGGTAATGAGTGAGTGCTAAGTTAGCGAAAAAGGTGTGAGTGCATTCCAGCTGTTCCAATCTTACACTTACACAGAATGTCAGCCAACCGGAAACCGGGAATCGTATACTGTAGTTAATACACTGGGAATAATCAACAGTTTTTACAATACAGTAGGCCTACGTTTTATACTGGGTGAATTAGACCACCCGTGCACATACTTTTACGAGAGTACGTTTTGACCTAGAAACGCGAGATTTAATTCACATACTATAATAATCCATTTCCACCCAACCATTATTAAGTAATTTGATTTTAAAATTCAAAAAAAATTTCCTTTACATTGGAGGAAGATGTTTTCATTAAACTTAACCTTGTGATACAATAACATATGTTAATTTTCAACCTGAAGGCGAGTGAGCGCAGCGAACGAGCCACAACCAAAAGGTGAGTGAGCGTAGCGAACGAACTTGAACCAGGACGTGATTGAGTGATGCGAACAAGCTCATCTTGAAAATTAAACGAGCATTTGATATTAAACCACATTAGGCCAGGACGACGTCTGTAGGGCCAGCTAGTAATTCTAAACAAAATAGTTCAATCTGCATTGCTGAAACAATTATGGTTCAAAAGTTATTGTATCTTTTGCCGTTTTCCCTATATAATATCATAGTTATTCCCACCCCTTAAACATAAAGGTTGTTAGCAAGGTAATGGGAGAAAGTATGTATCAGATTGCTATTGCTGATATCGTTTATTTCATGTGTATTACAAACTTTTAAAAATGAAAATAGTGGATAGGAAATAAATAACAATTTGTTTTTCAATACATAATATGTCTACTAACTGTTTACAATAATAAAAAGAATAGTTAGTTGTACAACTTGCTCAATATTTTTAAGGTTTAGTTATAAAATGTACATTAAAGAAGCCCTTAAGTACTCCACAAATTTAATCTTCAAACTGTAATGCACTTATGATATTACAAATCACAAAAAGGAAACATATACTAATTCCAAGAAATACTAGCTTTGATGATAAAATAAAATAATTCATAATAACTACAAGTTTATCAAAGTAAAACTTTACTAAGAAATCCCCGTTATTAAGAAATCTCCACTGTACATTAAAATGTGATTTCTTTACTATTTTTTTTTATCAAATAAGTTGGCAGAATATTCCAATTTACCTTGTATTAGCCCGTCCACATAGCAACAGAGCAAGGGTATGTCCGTTATCATGTAGTACTGAGATTTGGTGGTGGCACCAGAACACAAGAAGCCCAAGACATTCATTGCTTCCTTGGTTTCACAGTCTGCCATGTTACCAGTCTGGACTTAACCCTTAAAGTATGATAAACCAAAGATTGTTGGGTAATGACATTTTAGTTGGAACGTATACTAACTGACCCTGTATAATGGAGGTGGAAGGTCTATTTAAATCATATGATAAACCTATTGTATGAAAAGTGATGAAAAAGTAACATTGTAAAACTTTGGTTGTGTGCTAACATTATGTAGAAAATAAATTTTTGCTTAATGGCTATGTATATTGAACGATTTACATTAAACTTGGCGGGAATATTGAATAATGCTAATAGATATGAGCTTTATTCCTAGCCCCCCAGCCATTTGTTCTAATGTTGAAATTCACTTTATTTACGTTAATGTACACATGAGAACCTATTTTATCTATTATATTGTGTAAAATGAAAAGTAATACGTAAAATCATGTTACTTTATAACAGTTTATATTGAAGTTCAACTTGAATGTAGCCACAGAGAAGTAATGTACAGAGGAACCACTCAATGGTACACTTATGGTGACTAGCATTAGTCACTGGTGTCTATGGCAAAGTCCAATACCCCCCCCCTGCCCTCATCCTCTTGTCCTACAACGCTCATGGTGGAGAACCCTTTTTGCAATAAGAAATTCCTCACAGTGCTCGCTGCTCGGGCTCTTTCTCCTTGCTTGTCACAAGTGTATATTTCCGGCACATCGTACTAGAACTGAAAGTGCACAGTTGTCCTATGAGCAAGTTTTTCTTGTACCTTACTTCTCTGTGATGTAGCGTAGTCAATCATTGTTATTGTGTTTTACTAAATTACTGCAAAAGCATTCAGAAATATGAGTTCTACTACGAGAGTTAAGTGAATATCTGCACAAATTAATGGGACTTCTACAAGTTTTTTTTTTGCCAGTTTAAGTCATCAAAACTATTTTTCCCTTAACAAACTATAAACGTTTTGGTTGATGAGTAGTTTGATGAACAATTAAAGTTTATTAATTACAACGCTTTTAAAAACTAACTTTAAAAGCTGTTAGCTTATGAATGTTTCTTGACTAATACTAATAGACAAGTGTGCAATGGAATATATGCTTCTCTGTTGTTATTAAAGTGCCATCTATATTTATTTGCATATTTAATCAGTGAAGGAAGAGCATTATAATACTGCAGCTTGAGTAGTTTTCTCCCTGCTGGCCTCTCACTGACTTATCAGCCCAAAACCACTGCCAGAGGTATGGAAGCCACAGATGAAGTCTCGAGTCAAAAACTGCTTCTGAAGCTGACGTTTAACGAGTCCTTCCTGTCCTCTGAATGAAGCAGCCCTTGAATGAGTTCAGACGGACGTCTATTTCACCTTCTTCAATCTGTAAAAGCAATTTTGGAATCAAAAAGTTTTACAAGAAGTGGTTGAGTGAAAATTTAAAAACGTACGTTTTCATGTCCCTGGCCTTTTACTTCGTAGATTCTGGATTTGTAGTTTATTATTATGTGTTTTAATATTTTTTGGGACGGGGGCAACATGTTACACACATTTATTTGGTTTCAAATAGGTTCTAGGTATTTTTTTCGGATTTTTAAAGTCTCGAAATTCACGACCATGACGTGTCCCTAGGGTACATTTTCCAACTTTCACGCTGTTTTTAGACTAATTATTCATGCCGAAATATATAAAGCCATATTTTTATGTCATCAATGGTTATTAAACTTAAAAAAAGGAGCATATTATAATTTTATTGTCATTGCAAACTGACTACCATGACAAAATAAGTCTGTCCCTCGATTTGGCGTCACGACTGTTTGGGAAAAATTTTCAACTTTGGAGCACGACAGTGGCAAGCCTGGCGTCGATGGAGTCAGTTGGTTTTAGAGACTAGTTCGGGGTGTACGTCAGGATTGTAGTGCCGGTCGTTTCGAGTTAAAAGGAGGAATTACAAGATTAATAAAGGAAAGATTGTGTTTTTTGTAATTTTGGTGTGTCCATGACCGTACGTAGTCATTCGATGAAGTAGACATGATGTTATTTTTTGTTTATAAGATATTTCAATTGCTAGATTAACCTAGAAGTCCACTTTGTATCCTCGAACATGAGGTGCAGGGCTACCGCCAGAACAGATCCAAATAACACGTAATTTCACGACCAAGGTTTCACGACCATCGCGGTTTTTTTCACGACCGATCCAGCCTTATGGATTATAGTGTGTTTGGTCGTGACAATAACTTTAATATAATTGTAAATTGAACAGTTTAGTTCAATTGAAACACATAATTTTATTATATCTAACAGTATAATTGAAGGATTGTTTAGAAAGATTTAGATTATTCCAGACAATTCACGACCGTACCTCTTGTCCCTGACCATCACGTTTATGATTTCTATCATAAAAAATTCAAAAATTAAAATATCGTCATATTTCAATGTTTTATACACAAAAGAAGCACACCTCTATACAAACATAACGATTTTTCGGGTCTCTGGTAAGTTTTTTCGGAGTTATACAAACGTAAAAAGATTTTATTGGCTTTTTTCAATTTTTTGAGTTTTTTTCTTTTTTTCTAGAAAGACTAAATATACCAAAAGCTCAGTGTTCTTTTTATTGTATAATGGTCATAAAAGTAAATTAGTTTATAGCAAAACATAGTTATAAAAATAATATTAACTATTTTTAATATTCATTTAAACGTCCGTTATGGTCGTGACAGGATTTTGTGTTTTTCCACTAAAGATGCTCTTTAAAAAAAAAACTACCAAAGATATTGCGTTACCATGGACATTTTATGAAACTTCAAATGTTAATAAAATACCCCCGCCGCAGCAAACCTGCAAACTTAGCGAATTTCCATTCACCTGATTGGATTAACACTAAAATGTCTCCTTAAAAATATAAAATGTATTCCCTATTTAAACAGAATTAGCTTAACCAGTACTTAGGTTTGCTGCAACAGGGAGGGTAAGAAAGTTTTTTTTTATGTAAAATGTTAAAAGGTACTGTAGTTTAGTAAGAAATTAATGTATTTTCCAAATTTGATCAAAATATGTTCATAAACAAGCAAACTACAAAAGTTGACTTATTCTCCATAAGAATAACATGGGAATTTGAAAATTAAAATTTTTTTGAATTTTCTCCGTAACAATTAGGCACATAATTACGCTTCAATATACTAAATTATTTGTTTTTTTTAAGCTCTACAAAATGGTTTGGAAAGAAATTGTGAATTTTTTTGTTTTTAGGGTCAAAAATGTGAAAAACCTATTTTTACCCCATAAAACAGACCCCCGTTCCCATAGTCCGATCATGCTGTTTCGCGAACTCATTCAAGTTTATCCCGCCTTACACATTTAAACCAAATTTCATCAAAATCGGATAAAAATGACTCAAGTTATCGTGTTCACGGACACATATATATATATATATATATATATATATATATATATACAGGGTGTCCGGTCATAAGTGTTAAATAAAATTTTGCATTAAACTACATGGTAATGGTGACATAAAGACGCACATTTGAGGTTCCCAACCTCAACCGTTAGGGAATAACAAATAAATTAAGGTTTTCCAAAAATTATTGTAGTTGTTATGAAAAAGGTTATATAACTCTGTTAAAAATACACTAATTGTTAATTTAAATGTCATTTTCAGAATCCTCACAAAATTTTAAATATATATAACACATAATCGTTGGGGTACGGAAAAATATTCTATTTAAATTTCTTCGTTAAACAATTATTTTTAATATCGACGAAAATTTAAATAACATTCAGGAATTTATTTCTCGGTTACCGAGATCCGATGAGTTAAACAAATACTACTAAAAACTTCCTTATTTAAAGGGCTACACATCTGCTTGCGTATTAAATAAGTAAAATAGATAGATATAGATACTTGACGTAATACGCCAAAAACACGAACTCCAATTATACAGCAATTGCATGATTTTTACATTTTTAGTGGGCTATAAGTAGGAATGAACGGGATTGCACTTATCAACAACTTCTAATCTTTTTTCTTGAGCACCCAGTCTAAATAATCTTAAAGTAATTGGAGAAGGCAGGTGCCATGCATTAAAATAATATCTAAAATTCATAACTACCGCGACATCTAGGGTACGCAGAATCCTAATGACTAATTCCAAACTACCAGAAATCAGCTGTGAGCCCTATTATGTTCTGTAATAATATTACACGCCCGGATGGTGCTGGGTCTTAAAAAAAGTACAGTAATGTATAAGACTTTGACCCAAACAATATTAACCTCAATTGCCAAATCGTCTATGCTGATATATTAGAACGGTTGGTAATAAATTTACGAAGCTTAACTTGATAATTGATAAAATATTATCTGCTTTTATATTAATTTAGAAATAGTCAATGTGGACATTTCAATACAAATAGGCCATAAGTGATACCTAGTAGGCTATATAGCTACAACATTATTTTCTGTATGACGTGAGAATCACCTCGGAACAATTATCGACGGAGATTTTAATGCTACCCAATTATATGCATATGAATGAATGTGTGGGTTTATATTAACTCAGGTAAGTTTATTATCAAACCCAGCATGTCTGTAAATGAAAAAGAACTGTTCTTCAATATTATTAAAAGGAAGTTAAAAAGATATTTTCTTTGTGTCTAAATTATATCAAAATTGGCCATGGGAGTTTTATATTTATACAAATCTACACAATCACATTATCTGTAGGCCCTACAGTTTGGTTTCGTGGTGGCCCAAAAGTGATTTTTCTACCAAAAAGTCAAACTCAAAAGTTAAAACGAAAAGAATAGCAAAAAAGAAGAAATGCAAATCTTTAAATGTTACGTGTTGGGAAATGTTAATAACTACACGTAATAATACTTTGGTGACATAAAGAACCATGTAATCATTTTTTACAATTTTTTAATTTGACTTAATAATGGAATGAAAACAATAACTGTGTGACATACTTAACTGATTACTTAACTGATACTTAACAGATTACAAATAACTCTATCCTTGCGAAACTCTAAATGCGCAAAACCAACATAGCAACAAAAGCGCAGCTTATAGACACTCTTATTCTAATTCTAGTTTTTTATCACAATCAAAAATTCAATATAGCTACGCAGACCTTTGCTAGTTTGGTAAACAGATTTAAAATGCTTGTTAAGAACAAGAGAACGCATAACGAGTACCAAAGCCAAAAGTTTGTTTAACACAAGTTCTAAGTTTTACACGTGTATTAAATAATGTTAAAAAGTAGTTAAGGCTAATAATTTGCCCCCCCCCCTCTTTGTAAAAACATACAAATAACTTGAAATTAACAAATTTGTCACCATTTTAGGACAGTTGATGTATGCCTAGCAAAAAAACAGTTTATATTGATTTCACATAAAATTGATATGCTTTAGCCTAACTACTGAAATTATGTCAGGCATCTGTACCTCATCATATAATATAACAGTTATGTCAAATAAAAGTAGTTTACCATCAGGGCTAATAATTATAAAGATAAATAATTATAAAGATAAATAATTATAAGATTTTACTCTGGGTGAAGAATTTCGCTTTACAGCCGCCACGCCTTTTTCTCTCGCAAAACCACTTCTTTCTTCCACACACTAACACCGATTGCAAATTGAATTTAAAGTTATTAAACATCAAGGACTCTTTGCCCTTATTACTAAAAACCAACTCCGCACAATCTTCCATGGTCTTCACGCTTTGAATGTTTAAAAACTGATGCGAAATCCTAAATATGCCGAAATGTAAGGGTGACGCAGCATTCTTATGACTAATTCCAAGATACTTCCCTCCATGCCGGAAATCGGGTGTCAACAATCCTACGCTGTTACCTGGTACGCTGTTACGATGTTACGCATGTTACCTACCCCCGTAAAAATATTACACGCACTGGTATATAGTACTGGTTCTTTAACGTAAAAGTAATGCATACATTTTAGTTCAACCTAAACTATGTTAACCACATTCACCACATCGTGTATGCAGATGCATAAGAACGGCTGCTACTGAATTTGCCTTCTTCACTAACAATGTAATTTTCCAAAACTTAACTTTATTTCTGATCAGAATTTTAACAAATCTGCTTTTATATACAGAAATGATTAGTGTGGTGCACATTTGTATAATACTAAGCAATGTAGCAACATAATTGTTGTGTAGGATGTGACAATCAACCACGCAAAAATATTGACGAAGTTTTTTAGTTACCTAATACTTATGAATAAATGTAATTGTTTTGATTTTAAAAATTAAATATCAATAATATTCACAGTTATTGTTTAACAAAAAATAGTGATAGAAAATATACCACATCACTTATTGCATTCAACATTACAACATGCAAAACTAAACATGTATTGGACTTCCGTGCCGACGTAAAACCTTGTATAACTTAAGTTTTAAGTTGAACTTTTATCGTTAAATAATCATATTATCTTCCATAATACTCAATACAATAAGGGGTTTTCGTCATAATAAAGCAAAACATTCATATTTATACCTCATGCGTTGCGGGTCCAAAGTAACATTTTTTTCCATAGGGAGTAAAAAGTTGTTGCAAACAGTTGTAAATTAATCAGGCAAAGGTTTAGCCTAATGTTGCATTGTTGACAGTAGCTGGACATATCAATGGTATAATGTATTGTAAACACAATCTTAATAGAAGAAATTATTTACTCACTTTCTAAATAGCAACTTATTTACAATAAGTTATTAGAATATATGTGGAATTCAATTCAATTAAATTCAATCATTTATTTTCACATAACGTTTACAAATCCAGCATAGCTGGGAAACAGGTGAAATGGTCATATACATAAAATACATAAAACTATAATAACTACAAAATCAAATAAATACATCACCTAAAAAATCATTAACTTTATAATACGCTCTGTCAACCAGCAATTTGGCAACTTCTTTCTTGTATTTTTCAAACGATTCTAGTAATTTAATATTTTCAGGCAGTTTATTGTAAAATTTTTTCCCTAGATATTGTGGAAGGGTTTCAAGTGAGGTAATATATTATATGGAATATTATATGGAATATGTTAAATGTCTGCTCCTTCAATATTTTTAGCTCTTAACTGTATTTGAAAATTCATTGAGACATCAGCAAACAGCTTTAGCAAAATATTTGCGTCCATCCCTGTATATTATAATGGTCATGTTCATGTAAGAGATTCCCGTTTCTCCCTCGCCCCTCCCAACTACCTGGCCCGCCGTCGTGGCTTTCGTTCCCAGGATTAAAACTTCTCAAACCCTCGCTAATTGCCGTGGCTTACGTCCCCCCAGCTTATAGAGATAAACATTCGTGGCTTTCGGCCTGCGCCCCCTATAGTAATACCAGAAACAAAAGAACCCTGGGCCGTTTCGAGCTGCGTAGGTTTGAAGGGTAAGCCACACCTACCGGCGCGAACCACGTGATCTTTTCGTTTCTGCGCAGGTTGTTTTGTTTGTGGTATGTCTATAACTGGATGTATATTTTCCATAGGTTACGACAGGAATTAATGTATAAATTCACCTCTGCCCCTTCCAATTATGTAGAGATCAGTTCGGCTGACAAAACTTTAACTTACTACGAGTTCCAAATCGGCCTCTGTCATCAACTTGGACTTTGAAATACCGAGTGTATCAAAATGCTTGTTAAAACTTTGAAATATGAAAAGATTCTCTACGGAACTGAGATTTTATTTTGAATCACCAAAAGTAACTTTTGTAACCCAAGTCAATAAATAGCATTGTTGGTATGGGTATGGCCGTGACTGTTTCTGAGGTAGGCCTATACTCACCTGATCCTTGTAGTAGATGTGATGGTAGCAGGTAGGTGATATGCATTCTCTCACACACTTGAATCTCTCAAGACCCTTCAGTGCGGCACATGTTGGGCTCTGCTCACAAGCTGACTCAAACTCTCTGAATGCCACTTCCTGGACACAACAAAGTCGTAAAAACCAGTATCCACAAAACTCAGTACTCCTCAGGGGTCCGCGCTTTCTTTTTGTGAAAATGATTATTTTGTTTCAGCAGATTTCTTCTTTAGAAATGAAACTGGGAATCCCCGAATCCTCAGAGGCAAAAGCATGCAAAATATGCTCATACAAGGCGTCCCCATCTAATATTAATAAAAGTATGAATGTGTAGTCTTCTGTTAATTAGCCTGTGTTCATTTCTGATTAAACATGCCAGTCAGTTATTTCAGAGGAGTTATTTCTAGACCCCCTAAACATAGCAAAGCAACTTATAAAATTAATAGTTGTATTTGGCAATATTTCTTTAAACATTACATCTTTACGAATCTCTATATGGAAGAACACTACTTGATATAGAGTGGTGAACTTTATATATTTCACTGGTTGGAAATATACTTCTTTATATAGGCCTATACATTTCATTTACTGCACTCAAATACCATACAACATAGCTTCTTTAAGTCAATCTTATACTTATTTTATTTTATACATACCAACGGCAGAACCATTTTAAAATAATCAACAAACAGTTATCAAACTTATAACACACTAGCAGAGTACCCGTCCTTCGTACGGGGTTGGCGTATAAGTATAAAATGCTTATTTCAGTTATTGGCTTTGTGTTTGCGATGGGAGAGGGAACACGGTTTAAGAAAATTTGGTTCTTTTAATTTACGGTATGCTATAGTATAGCCCATCTACCTTAGCCATAATGTTCTACCAATGCACCTAAACAATAGAAAAAAGTAAAGTTCTAATTGTATATCACAGCTTGGTAGCTAGTTGGTTCAAATTAGCTTTTGTCATAAATGTATAAGAATAAATAGTGCTACACCCTGTTGGTAAACTTTATAACTTTTAGTTTTGATGCTATTCGCTATTCAATAACATAGAACCAACTTGTGTGTAGTTGAAACAGTAAAAAAATCTTTAATTCCTTTTAAATATGATACTCATAAGGTTAACATGGGAAACTCCAGATCCACTGGGGTGAAGCCCAAAAGGATTTTGAGATAAGAATATGTCTATATGTTAATTAGGAATGTGAGCTATCACCATACCAAATTTCAGCCCAATCCAACCAGTATAGTTAATGAATGATTGAACTTTAAACAAACAAATACACAAACTTTTACATTTATAATATTGTATTGATAGTCAAAGATATTAGTAAGAAGTAAGATTAATAACAATGTAACAATCAATAGAAAACTAAAGAAAATCAACAAATATATAATAAATAACTATATCTATACTTATTTTATACGCAAGCAGGATTTTTGTGACAATTACTCCTCCGAAACTACTGAACCGAATGACATGTTTTTGGTGTCATTGGAAAGAGCTTAACGTGAAGTTGTGCAGGAAACTTTCTTTTTTGGGAAATAATTTAGAGAGGGAGGATAATGAGTGAACAATTTCACATGTTTGTTGCTCCTACTCCTCTACAGCACAGTTCCAAATACAAGGGTGTTTTTCGATTTCACTAATAAAGTCTTCAGTGTTCAACTTTGTGTCGGCCAACTTCTGACACTTTTTCATGAGCTCTTCTTGCTTTTTATTTGCTTCTTTCTTTTGTTCGCCTTTCGGAGGTTCTTCTTTTTTCTTCATATCTTCGCGTATCCCTTCGACTGAATCAGATGTAGACATTTTATCAACTGAAGTGAACAATTCACCCACTTACAACACAACAGAACGCAACACAACAGTGTGCAAGTACCCCCGTGATATGAACTGACCGAGTGGTGACGTGATGATACTGGCGACCTAGTGTAATAAGCTCCATATGCTACAACGCAGCGTCGCCAATATGGGTAGCCAGTGGCTTGGCTACCGCAGTGGCGACGGGGCTCGGTAGCCAGTCGGTCGCCAAAGTTTGGCTGCGTCGTTGGCTACCCTCATGTAATAACATCCATAAGAATCAATGACCCTTGACAAGCTGAGTAGCCAGTTTGGTCGCTGGCGACGTCACCAGGCTACCTCGTCTAATAAGGGCCTAGTAATCATTGAAAGAGCCGATTTGCAAACTCTGGAAACATAGGAAAGTCATAGAACACCACCAAGAAGAAGAAATAGAAATATTGTTTTTTTTTAATGTATAATCGTTTTTATGGACAACCTAATGCGGCTATGAGTAAGGCTATTTGTAGAAAAAACTAAAAAACAAGATCGGCTTTTGAAAAATTATAAGATATTTACAAGAAATGTTGATTATATCGATCTGTTATGTACATCTTGAGTATTTCCATAATCTTTAAGTCGAATCTTTTAAAGTCATCAGAAATTATTATGACTGATATTCGTTTTAAAATAGCGCCTGTAATACTTAGCAATTGCTCGAATTCAAGCAACAGGTAAACTAGTATTAATAAATATAATAAATAAATATCATGAAACTCAACAAGTAATAAATAGCATGAGACTCGTCAGACTCGACAACAAAAATAAATATAAATATAGATTTTTGATAGATACACAACCGTACTGACTGCTGGCCATAAGACTGTTTATTATAGCATAGATAAAAGGAGTCCTTTTATCTATGATTATAGATACACAAGCAGATCATACAATATTTTTAATTTGCCATCACTAAATAATATTTTATATTGCTTGTGTTTTGCAACTTTAAGATTTTCTGTTAGAAATTATGTTGCGTGGAATATATTTATTGTATCACACAATATGTTTTATTTTATTCTGCCTGTAACATTTTCTAACAAAATATTTAACATTAAGTACCTACACGCGGTAACCTTTTTAGTAACAGTAGTTTTAATTGACAGCGATTTTCTAATTTTAATTGACCAAAATATAAGTTTCAACTTTATAAATCAGTAACAGTTTTACATAAACGCACCAGGCACCACCAACACTGCAGTAAGTTATATACACTATGATCAACTTACATTTTTATTGGTTTCCTTGTAGGGATACTCTGGAAATATGAAGTTCGTCTTTTCACAACACATTTTTTTCATGTAAACACAAACGATTAAATACAGAATAAATACTTTACGTACCATTTGCAAAATTTCCTAATTCTTACAAGAAATGACTAAAACTTAGCATTACAGTACTGATTGAAGCGTCTTCACTTCTAGGATCAATGTTACACTCGCCGGTTGCCGATGCCAAAAGGGAAGGAACATAACCTAACGCTACAATCAGCTGTTGATATTGATCAGGTGGCGTTATGGACAGGTAGCGCTCGGTGCGGTGAGATTGTCAACTTACGTCTGCTTGCAATTTACCTACCACCCCTCCATCCATATCATTCTTGACTGTGCGTCGCCCGGGTATTATCTTTACGGGTAGCATTTGATTTTAGTCGTGTTATTTAATAGTGAGTGAAATTCGTTGGCGGATTATCACTTTCAAACAAACAATAGGTAAGAAAAACTGATTATTTGTATTAGTTATTTTTTTTTAGTTTTATACTGGAAACAGGAGCCGAGCATTTGCCGGAGTTTGCCAAAGCAACAGTTTGCCCCGGGAGGGACCATGTTAAGGTTAATGTACACTGTTTAGTTTACAACTAAAGTATATTGAACTCATGTATGTTGTACGTTTACCATATTTCACTTAATAAGTTTATAAGGATTATTTCACTGTATTTAATTGGTAAAAAACTAATCCAAATATATTTTTAAATAATAATTGTGTTAACTAACTTATCTAGATAAATTAAAGTACATTAAAAAGATTGTGTAACTGCAAATATTCTATTAGCTAAGATAATGTGTAGACATAATAAATCAAAGTTAGGTAGTTCAGTGGGTGCTCTCTTGGTGATAAATAGTCACCGGTTCGATCTTGATAAAAGTTAGTAGCTTTTTGATGGTTTAAAACTGGACCCAGCTGTTCCTGATCATTGGGCTTTTGATTAACATCCTGGCTAATGAAGCAGCTGATCTTATTCAGTAACAAAATCTACATTCTCTTGATTTTATTTGCTTTGTACCTTGACTTTGAGATAAATGCATGTTTATTAGACCGAAAAAACAGTATTATTAACATTTTCTTACTATCCTCGTTAAATAAAGTTTTACTACCCCTAAAATTCCCAGGATAAAATACCAGAACAAGTGAATAAAAAAATAGAGGCTTGCAATGTATGAACAAATGCGACCATTTTAATGGTACGATTTGTTTTTCAATCATCGGTTGAGGAAAGAGGATTTCTCTGCGAATTTTTCTCCCAGCATTATGCGATTTCCACTGTCAAGAAGGCTCAGCATTGTTTTCTTATGGGGGTTTTTGCTGTAAAATCTGTAGGGGATTTGAATTTTACCATTTGAAAGTTAAGAACTCTGTTTTAAATAAACTATCTCAAGTAGTTTGAAAAATGTTTCGATAACAACTAATGATTACCAATCTCTTCTTAGTTACATAATACTTTAAAACGATTTACTTGCTGCTAAAACAATAAAAAATTAATATTGATTTTTAACCTTTTATATAATCATTTATGATATAACTGGTTTTAAGATCTTAATCTCTAACGATTATAAATCGCTAATCAAAATGATGCTATATATATCTAATTAGTGTTTCGTTTTTTGAGACCAAATCTTCTACCTAACGTTCATAAGGAGTACTAACTTTTGTTGACAAAATGTCTGATTGATGATTATTAACAGCACACTTGAATAGATGGTCTTTGCGAGATATTAACAGCAACAATTATTTTTCGATAAACACCTTCCTACCACGTACGAACCTTAAGTAAAGGACTGTGTAGAATAACTGGTAAAAATACTGATCATGCGTTAGCTGTTGAATTTGTTTTTATTTATAATTGTTTGTTTATTTTTTCCTGAGCTAATTTTTTGATTCTTAACGCAGATTTTATATGTTTAAATTTAGATAAAGTTTTTGGTTTTGATCCTGCCACACAGCAGATGCAGTGCAGTACATAAACCCAGGATATGTTATAAGCTGTACAAATAACAGAGCGTGTGTTGCTAGCTAGCCTAGTGGTTACCGCCTGGATAGGTGCGGGAGGGACGGGTTCGAGCCCCGGCACATCAACAAATATTATGGGTTTGGACCGCTTTATGGTAAAACATACTTCCTTTTGTGATTCCCAGTATAAAAATGCTACCGGCGTGGATATATAAAAAAAGAGTGTGCCTCAAAATAAATAATGGGTACGAAATTGTTTTAAAAGTAAATTTAAAAGTAAACTAAATACAGTGATTCTCGTCTATATCTTGTTGTGAAGCACGGGTAAAAAAACTAGTTGACTGAAAACCAAAAACTTTTCCGTGAAAAGAGTTGTAAAATCTGTCTTTAAATTTTGACCTGTCTAAATAACATTTGACAGTTATTTTGAATGATCAGTAATGTTGTATAAGTGCTGATGACTACAATGCAATTCGTCGTCCATAACAGTGATCGTAGAATACTATTATGTCCGTTTCGGAGCTAAGATTTTCTTGAACATATTCATTATTGTTTTCCAATCCCATCCAAATCATAACAATGACGTTTACAGAATGAACGTCTGGTGAATGCTAAATATTATCTGAATATTGTGATGTAAAAGCTCCATAATACTCCGTCTCGGATGTGGCCCGCACACATAATTATGCTGCTGAGCGTTGCGTGTATTTTGGCGTTGATGACTCACCCACCCCCTCATAAAACATGCTCTTATTTTCCTTAGAGATTTTTTTTCTGGTCATGACTTGCTAAAAATATGAACAGTATAAATGTGTCCTATATTTAGTTTTTTATATGCCCTTGCCCATCATACGATTAAAAGACATGTTTTGATTTTATACGTATTTTTGGCCTTTGACCAATTTAGCTTTCAAATAAAAAGATAAAAAATTGGGCTCTTTCAGCCATCTATGAACTTTTTAAACTTATATATTTTTTCTTTTATGTAAAACTTTTTTAAGGGGCTTTTTCATTTGATGTGCCATTAAAAGCGGTAAGTTTATCACTATTATCCTAGCTATAAATATAGCTTATAAAAGCGTTAAAACTCTAATATTCAAATTGAGTCACCTGGTATAACAATTGCTGCAGTATTTACTACTGCATCATTTTTTAAGTAAACCCGATACAGAACTGTAAGATTTCTCACATTGCAAATCAACAGAATGCATTATACTGTAGTGTTTAATAAGGAGTAGGCTATGCAATAGTTGATATTAGTTGTATATGTGGAGCCTTGATAGGAAGACCCTCGATAACAAGTCGCCCTTGATAACAAGTGTCATTTTCAAATCCCCATGAGAGTCTTGCTATCAAGGTTCTACTAGTATAATTATTGTTACACGTTGAGATCATATCAGTCTTTTACTATACTTTACTGGATATGGTAAAAGGCTGATATATAAAAACATTAAACAGGAAACTGATAAATGGACGAAACACATCTGATGGTATTAGATTAAGAAGATTCAGATAGATTAATGTTGAAAATCCGGTTTGTTATATAAAAGCCATACGGTATTTTTAGGGGCCTACACATTATGTTTACATGCTCTCGGAAAGTCCATATAAGATGAAAATGTATCCAAACGCTTTTACGTGATGGATACAGATAATCATCAAAAGGTTTATTTCTGTTTCAATCAAGCATGATGATTGTAGGAGGTGAGTATTGGTAACTTCGTGGTTGTTACTCGATAGGAAACCCCGTGAAAGATAAACAATTAGAAAGCTACAACTGGAGTTTTCAATTAAACGAGAGAAACAAAACATTGTTATTATTTGCTCGTGGTTCCACAGGTGATTGTTCAGCGCTCAATCAATTAATTACTTCAATTTATCTGACGGCTCTGGAATGTAGTTGAGGGGGTTATAATACGTGTGGAATCCACTAATTTAATATTGACACTAAACTAGACCTATTAATATTGCATTATTTGAAAGTTATAATAAAAATAGAGGTCTGGAGTTTCAATAATATAAATTGCCACAGATATTCTCTGAATATATCAAATAGAATTTATACGATTTAGATTAAAAAGTTACAAAATACCTTCCATTAATCGTGTTCTTCACATGATAGACATAGGATGTTCATAGGAATGTCCGTGAATTTTATTAGATGTTTAAGGAACTTCATATTAAATTCACAACAATTGTGGCCCTCTACGTCAATAGACGATTCCCGCAAACTGCATATTTATATCTATTGCCGTTTTTGCATAAATAAAGAAGCAAGTTAAAAAAAAAAACACCCTGTATACTCTTCCACGCATCAATCCCTGCAGATTGAAGTCTTTGTCGTCCGTCAAGAAAATGCTTTGATACATGAGCACATTAATTTATGCAATTCAATTATTTGTATTGTACAGTTTTTGTGATGACGCATCCAATTTTATTAATTATGAAACCTTTATTTGTGTTGATTATTGTATGTTTGAATTTTTTATGAACAAATCTTTCACCGTAGCAAAGATTAATTATTAATGACATGCAACTAAATTTTATGAAAAAAAATGTTTATGTGGGAATGATTTAAAAGGATAATGCTAAATAAAAGTATTAAATTATATTGTATTCATTATTCCATATTTTTATCACTACGTGTATGTAAGAAAACCTTGTCTGTTCATAAACCTTTGAAGTTTAGTCGTTAAACACAAACTTTCCTGGTTTGTAATTAACGGTTTAAATTAACCTTCTGTTAGTCTCATCTTGAAGACAATTTTCAGTTTTTCAATTTCCTCCACTGTACAGAATATACAGTTTGAACTTAAATTACATTGTAGATTAACTTTGTAGAAAAGCTTAGCGGAACTACTTACAAAATCAATAGGAATGCGAAATTGATTGTGTTGGTATTAAAGGTTCTATGTTTTGTAGATTCTATGTTTTGTTCCAAAAACATATTTACAGTCTAACTTCAGATTGTCTTGGTTGTAGATTCCTATTGTACTGTAATAGATTTATTCCGTAGATTCTATAAGAAATTGATACAAGACTAGCACACGTATTATTAGACCGTTATCGAAAATTGTCAATTCCGTTACGGAGTGATGAAAATAATATACCGTCTAAATACCGATTAAAAGTTCAGTGTAATTTAAAAAATGCTATGTTTCACCAGATGTTGGAAAATTGTTTAAATTAACAGCGTAGCTAGTGGAACATATTAAATTTGATTTACCTTTGAGTCAATGCTTTTACCTATAAGGACTGAGGATAACATCCGTCTTTTCAATAAAACTCGTACGAGAAAATAAGGTAAACCATTAAGTGATATCTACAGTAAACAAGAAAGTCCTGCAGCGCATGTCGACAACTCC